AAGAACCTTGGGGAGGTAAAGTACTACCTCGGGATGCACGTGGAGAGGGATCTGGATCACAGGTGGTTGAAGCTGCACCAGGAGAAGTTCATCAAGGAGCTTGGGGAGAAGTACGGAATTGAGAATGAGCGCAAGGTTGCAACTCCCCTGCCAGCAGAATTCAAGCTTGTGAAAGCTGCAGAGGATGAAGGGGTTGAAGCCGAGGAGCAGCAGCAATTTCAGTCCTTGGTGGGCAGCCTCTTGTATGCAGCAGTTCACACGAGACCCGACATCTCTTTCTCGGTTGGGCAGCTGGCTAGGGTAGTGCAGAATCCATCAGAGGAGCAGGTGGATGCAGCTGAGCGTGTGGTGAAGTATCTGAACTCTCACCCAAGCATTGGAGTTCAATACTCCGCATCTGCACAGGTGAAGCAGAAAGGGGTTGAGGTGCTGAAAGAGAAGGGGGAGAGGCTTGGAGAAGGCAAGCTTTTTCTCACTTGCTTTACTGATGCTACGTGGGCCTCTGAGAAGGAGGATTCCTCATCTGTGGGAGGATACATCTGCGTAGTTGGGGGAGGACCGGTTAGTTGGAGGTCAAAGAAGCAGACGGAGACAGCACTCTCTTCCGTGGAATCAGAGTACATGGCGATGTTCCATGGGGTGAAGGAGGTGATTTGGCTGAGGAGGCTGTTGGAGGAGATTGGCCAGGAGCAAAAGGTTGCTACGCCGCTGTTTTGTGATAGCAAGGGAGCTCTTGGGATGGCCAGGAACGCTGTGCTTCATGGGCTGAATAAGCACATGCGTATCAAGTGGCACTGGCTGCGTAAGGAGGTGAAGAGGGGGACGGTGAATCCGATCTACATCAAGACTCACCAGCAGCCAGCAGACTTCCTCACCAAGAGGCTTGCGGATGAGTCTCATTGGCGTTGTGTGCGCATGAGTGGAATGAGCATGAACTAGTATGGAATGATGGGGATGCAGCCGGCAGGCTGAGGGGGAGTGTGTTGGGTGCAAATTCACATTGCACGACATCCTGCCGTCTGTTTGTACGAGTATGCGTGTGCGAATGCATTTGCGTGTGAATGGTATGCTTGTGTGTTTGTTTGCTTTCGCAATTTTCGCTTGAAGCATTTGCAGGTACTCGCAAAATGTGCGCTTCGGCATAACATTGTACGCGCTATGAACAGTACAAGCAGAAAGGACGAGCTCGCAAAGGAACCCAAGATGGAAGGTTTGCGGTTCAACTTACTTGATTGCGCAGATTCAGTTCTATCCAACTCGAAATTGTACTGTTTTGTTTGGTTGACTATAGTGTAGCAGGGCAGGCACTATAGGGGTACAATTTAGGTAAAGGTTGGATGTTGTTTGTCTGTATCTGCATGCTACAGGGCCAGGGGAAACCAGCGGAACCAGCATTTGGCTGGTTGGGCAAAGACAAAACAGGTTCTGTTTTTAGGACCTGAACCTGGTTGTTGTTTTCCCAGGTTGGAAAAACAGAACCAGAGGTTGTTCACCAACCTATCACCTGCTATTTTGTCCAGCCAGGTTGGTTCTGTTGCTTGGAATTATTTGGGATCATCCCTGGTTGTTCCCAGGTTGATTCCCAAGGTCCTTGCTAGCTAGAACTATTTATTCCTTCTCTGTTTGTACCTGAATATAGTGAAATTGATTCAAGCGAATTCCTTCCTTGCTGGAATTTCTTTTCTACGCGGTGCGACGGCGGAATGCTACCCGAGTCAACGCTAGTACGCTAGCACTCCAACGCTAGACTAACGCTGTCCGAGCCATAACTTCGTAATGGCAGAACTTTTCGCGAGGCAACTTGGCTTATTTTAAAGCTCTTAGAGTGAGCTTCGATATAGGAAATTCTCAGCTTAATCCGATCGACGGTCTGCACGATACGCTGCGCAACGTTCAAGGTACTCTTGCTGTTTTGACTAAGTCCCTCTTGATCCCTCTCTCTACAAACTCGGACCCAAGGATAGGGGCTGGTCTTGTACCAGGCACCCAAGGACCCTTGGAGGTGACCCCGAGGAGAGGTTTTAAGTGTGATAAAGTCTTAATAGCTTGAGTTTATTAGGCCCTTACACCAACAGCCACGTCATCCCCAACACTCACCTTCCGCCACGTCACACCCACCTGCATCCGCCACATCATCCCCAACCCTCACCTTCCGCCACGTCACACCCTCCTGCATCCGCCACGTCCACCAACAACCAGCCCCTCGCGCCACGTCACACCCTCCTGCATCTGCCACGTCACACCCTCCTGCATCCGCCATGTCCACCAACAACCAGCCCCCCGTGCCACGTCACACCCTCCCACCCCATGCCACGTCACCCCCCACCCACCTGACACGCGTCACCTTGTCACGCGCCGCTCCCGTGTATCATTCCAAACGCCATGTCTGCCCCAACCCTCACATTCTACCACGTCACACCCTTTTGCATCCGCCAACAACCCGCCCTACTTGCCACGTCACACCCCCACCAAGAGCCACGTCACCCCCCACCCTCCTGAAACGCCTCGCTGCGTCACGCACCGCACACGTGTACTCTTTTGAACAGCCACGTCATCCCCAACCATCACCTTCCGCCACGTCACACCCACCTGCATCCGCCACGTCATTCCCAACCCTCACCTTCCGCCACGTCACATCCTCCTGCATCCGCCACGTCCACCAAATAGCCCCACGTGCCACGTCACACCCTCTTGCATCCGCCACGTCACACCCTCCTGCATCCGCCACGTTCACCAACCAGCCCCACGTGCCACGTCACACCCTCCTGCATCCGCCACGTCACACCCTCCTGCATCCGCCACGTCACACCCTCCTGCATCCGCCACGTCCACCAACAACCAGCCCCCCGTGCCACGTCACACCCTCCCACCCCATGCCACGTCACCCCCCACCCACCTGATACGCATCGCCTCGTCACGCGCCGCTCAGATGGAGCCTTCGAAACCGCCACGTCAGCCCCAACCTTGCCCTGGTTGCCACGTCAACCCCAACCCGCCCCATTTGGCCTGCCACATACCGGAAATGGGTTTGTCTCTAGCAACACTAGCACTCGTGCCTTGTCCACGACGCTCATCCGCGGCGGGGTACCAGCCATAGGCAGGGCTGCCGACCCGCCGGCATAGCTGGCAGGTACTCCACGATGCAGGCCGAGCTGTGCAAACATGGCGTACATCTCAGACCGCAGTGCGTGGAACTCCTCCCGTGTAACAAACGGCTCGTGCTCCGCACTTTCACCTAGGGCACCCATGAGTGGAGGAAAAAGGTGTGAAGAATCCCCTATCTGGCCAAGGGGATCAGCATCTTCTGCAGCAGTCCCGTGTGCCCCCACACTATCACGCTGGGGGGAAAAGGGGAGCTCAGGGCAGGGATTGGTATAAGTGCCTGCCTGATGCCCGCGCGATGGACCGGCGACGGGGGAGACCGCCCTGCCCCGGACAGGAGAAGCGTGTAGCGACCGAAATGGGTACGAGGGTGAGGCAGTGGGGTTTGCGTGACGGGGGCTGGTGGAGGGGATTCGGATTCCTCTCCTCTTGGCGCGCCGGGTGCCGTCTTAGCGACTTTGCTCGGGTCGGTGTATGGCGTGTAGAACCTTGGTGCTCCTGTGGCTAGCGGTGGAACACTCGCTCTTCCGGCAGCCTTCGTTAGCTGCATCCGTTGCACGCTTACAGGTGGCCCAATGCCTGTAACGCGAGGGGCTGAGATGTAGAGGGAGTAGGATAAAGAAATTAGAGTCAATCGGTTTCAATACAGGGCCAGACATGCATGCATAACATCAAAGGTTTGAATCTAAATCGGGTTTAGGGTTGTACTGGTTTGAGACAAGAGGGTTTACCTTGCTTGGTAGATTTGTCGACCCTCTCCTTCCCTGCAAGGGAGAAACATGTTATAGTCGCAGTAGGCTCCAATGTGCCTAAAACGAAAGATAGAGTGCACAGTCGGATTTCTGCACAGCGGCTTCAAACGTTCATAGCGATCTGCTCACAACTCCAAATGACTTCATTCAACTTGGATCTGGAGCGCCTTAACGTCGCCTACAATAGGCAATTTAAATCGCAAGCTTTCAATAAGAAATGACGACACAGCGTCGGTTTGAACGAACGGCACTATGGCAGCAACATAGTCTTAGAACACAAGATAGGAAGAGTTAGGAAGAGTTACGAGTTGGGAATGACTCCCAGCTCCTACAAACCCCGAGAGCCGAGGTACAGTGATGTGGAACAGTGCCACACTGTCCCCAACCACGAAGGGTCTCGAAACTACCCTTCACTAGGGCCTACACCAAGTGAAATGTTACACTACTCAAAGTAATGGACCTATCTTCAATATCTTGAGGTGCACCCTTTTGGCGAGCTTCGAAATCACTCGAGGCTTGACACAAAGGCTCGGGCTCTTCATCACAAAATCATCCTTGAGTTCTTGATGGGTCTTCTGCACACACCTGTGACACGCCGAACGTTCGACACAGGACAAAATAGAAACCGCGCGCGAGACAGAAACGACCGCGTAACACGCGTCTAGCGATATCTCGCTATTGACTCGACACACACACTCGACATCATGACTCAACATTCACACACAATTATAAGCATGAAATATATATTATCCCATGCCCTCATACCATTCCATACACACACACATGCACGCACACGGACAACAAGCCGAGTGCAAACCGTAGGGTTGCACCAACAAAACAATGGGAAAAAATGGTGTTATTTGGCACGGTTGACCAGATGGTTCAACAACCACGCCACTTTTATTGGCCACAACGCTCACCTTTCTGCTGTCCCTTCGGTTTTGGGGCAGCCTGCGCCTTCTCGTTACCACCTTTCCGCGGGGTGCTTTGGCGGACGCTGCGACGTTTACCGGCAGGTTCTTTCTTGCCGGTACCCACTGGAACACCTTTGCCGCGGCCACCCTTTCCTCCTCCACCCCCTTCTGCTCCCTGGCTCTCTTGCTCTTTACCACCCCCTTCACTTTCGACCTTGACCTTACGCGCCTTCTATTTTCCCGATGCTTCGCCGCGCGCGGCGTTAACTGCCCCGCGTTTTCGGGAAGGGCGAGTCCGGCCCCCCACCTTCCCTTTACCACTCACCCGTCTGCCACGCCCGCCCCGTCCCTTCACTGGCGCCACATCCTCCTCCTCCTCCTCCTCCTCCTCCTCCTCCTCCTCCTCCTCCTCCTCCTCCTCCTCCTCCTCCTCCTCCTCCTCCTCCTCCTCATCCTCCTCTGCTGCCTCCTCCTCGTCGTCATCCTCATCCTCGTCGTCACCCTGTTTCTCCTCCTCCTCCTCCTCCTCCTCCTCCTCCTCCTCCTCCTCCTCCTCCTCCTCCTCCTCCTCCTTATCCTCCTCCTCTTCCTCCTCCTCCTCCTTATCCTCATCCTCCTCTTTGTCCTCCCCGCCATCATTCTCATCTTTTTCATCCTCCCCAACATCCATGTCATCCTCCTCCGCATCCTCTTTATCCTCCTCTTCCTCCGCATCCTCCTCATCCTCCTCCTCCTCCGTATTACTAGGGTGTTCATCGCCCCGTTTCTGCCTCGTCCCTGTGACTGCTTTCTTGCCTCTCTTTCCGCCGGATGTTTTTCTTGCTGCGGGTCGGCCCTTCTGGCGCAATGCTTGACCGCGCGTCTTGCCACTAGCTTCCTTGGCGCCTCGCATTGTCCCAACTTCCTCGCCTCCGGCGTTGTCAGCACTGCTTGTCGTCTGCCGCCTCTTTGCCCGCGTGGTGAGGTCCCCGGGCACGGTGGTGTCATAATCGTCCTCCCCATCGCTCCTCCTCTGCCTACGCCTCCCCCGTCTACCAGAAGGAGGAGAGCCACCGACCTGGCCCTCCGACTCGTGCTCCCCCACCTTGTCCTTATCCAGCACGACTGCAGAAACTTCGACCACAGTCGGCTGGAGCAGCGTCAGATGGTGTTGCGATGCCGCCGCCTTGGACTCCTTGGTTACGGCATGCTCGGCGCGGGGATCGCCTCCGTGGTTTCCCCCTGTCGCCGATCCCTCTATCTCCGCCGACAGGAATGCAAGACTCGTGCTCCGTCGCCCCGTAGCTTTGTTGCCGCCAGTGGTGCCGTCGTTACTCAGACCAGGCTCGGTTCCAGCAGAGGCAACATCCGCTTCTTTGCGCACAGTAGAAACACGCTTACGTGGCTTTGGTTTAGGCCCCTTGTCTTCCGCTTTCTTGCCAGACTCCTGTTGACCGCGCTCGACCTTTTTTGGCGCCGCTTTTTTCTGCCCAATGCCTGGTGCGACGGACGCATTAGTTTTTTAGCGCCGCCACCGCTCTCCCTATCTATCTATTGAGACGTCCTCCTTGTCGCGCGGCGGCCGGCCTGTTCCTTCCCCATTGCTTGGTTACGTATTGCACAAGTCATGGTCGTTGTAGGAAAGCAAATGAGCACATCGCGCGGAAGGGTTGTGCCGGTTTCGAAGGGGTACTGCAACGGAATCCCACGATGGGATTATCGACGGTCGATCACTGTTATCTGTATCCGAAAACCACCGCTTCATCTAAAACTGAACTAGTAGCCACTAAGCAGAGAGCTATGGCCGCGACGGAGAGGAGTGAGTCAAACAGCAAGCAGCGTCAAAGTGTTGGACCAGGGAGTGACGGAAGCAGGTGGGTGGGGCACGAGGGTGGTTGGGGTGGGTTGCGAGACTAGAGAGATTACTGTTACCCTATCATGTCAGTAGATCTGCACTGTGGATGCCCGATTGATCTTGGAGAGGGTTACAGAGGCGTTCGTCTGGGGGGTTATGGGCGCATTGACCCGCTACTGAAACAAGCCCTTTTATCCCAATGGTCTAGTGCTTGGGATTCTGACATGGTATCAGAGCGGTCTCGGGTTCGATTCCCGGTGTATGCACATGTAGGCCGTCGTCGCTGTGCTTAGTCCTGGGCCTTCCAGTGTGGAGGGGTGTCAGTAGATCTGCACTGTGGATGCCCGATTGATCCTAGAGAGGGTTACAGGCGCGTTCGTCTGGGGGGTTATGGGCGCATTGACCCGCTACTGAAACAAGCCCTTTTATCCCAATGGTCTAGTGGTTGGGATTCTGACATATCAGGCTATATCGCACGGTGTACGTGTAGCCACCCTAGCATAAACCCACCTACCGCTCGATCTCAGCCGCTCATTGGCTTAAGTACCTCTTGGCTGGTGATTGTGTTGCGGGCCAACTCGTTTGAGATGCATTGGCCAATCACGGTTGCCAACGCATCAATCACTACAAAGGGTACAACGGTTGTGAAACGCCAAGTGCGAAATTAGTAAAATCCCTGCAAAGTACAGTGTTGTCGCGAACGCACAGTGTTGCACATAGCAGCTAAATCAAACTCAAACATACAACAATAGATTTCATCAAACACTTAGTTGCAAATGGTTTAGTATGGGGTTGGGGTAAGTTAATTGGTGATTCTCGCGTCACACAAATGTACGGCGCACTTTTAGGCTTTGCCACATCGGTTTATCGATAGCGGACGATATTCTAACACGATGATCAATAGTAAACGAGAATCAGTTGTAGTATGGTGATGGATTATCATCTATTCTTGCATGGACATTCAACAAAGTGCTTAGAGGGAGTGGTATGAAGCACAGGCCCTACGCACAAGCGGTGATGCATTATCGACAGCCATGTTTAGACTGTGCGACGATGCAGCGTTTAGGCCTGCTGGGGTTGCGCGACATGGTGAATCTGTTTGCGTATGGTGATGGATCGTCATCCATTCTCGCACGGACATTCAACAAGGTGCTTAGAGGGAGTGGTATGAAGCACAGGCCCTACGCACAAGCGGTGATGCGTTATCGACAGCCATGTTTAGACTGTGCGACGATGCAGCGTTCTAGCCTGCTGGGGTTGCGCGACATGGTGAATCCGTTTGCGTATGCTGATGGATCGTCATCCATTCTTGCACGGACATTCAAGAAGGTGCTTAGAGGGACTGGTATGAAGCACAGGCCCTACGCACGTACTCCTCACCGTGCTTGTCACGCACGCTTGCGACCAAGCTAGCCGTACACCACTGCATAAGGCCCTGCTCACGTCGTAATCACTCTAACAGGGGGCGACACGCCTTGTAGAGAAGGCCTATGCCGTGCTGTCGGCGGTCTGAATCTAGGCTTGTCACGGCCGCGCTACGCGACCATTGTTAGCCAATCTCTCACTAATGTGCCACGATCAAGTGCCAGGCGTGCAGAGATCCAAGCCGCCGTGGACACTTCGCGCTGTGGCGATGACCGTGCTGGAGTCTGAGCCTTCATTGACCGTGAAGTAAAAGCGTTTAGAAGCTTCAAACTCGCTAGTCTCCTCACACTACATTCCACCACTCTTAGACGGATCTAGAATACATGGGCTTTTTGCCACGCGTAGTATGCGAATTCTGCAATAGATGGTTCCCCAACGCCCAGGTTTATGGCGGCCATAAGTCACGGCGGACCCCTTGTCAAGGGCTTTCCGCCGTGGCAAGGCCCTCCTCGTCTGCACCGTCTGCCGGTCTACACGCTCTGCTGTTCGTCCACGACATTCTGTCAGACGCTCCCGCTGCACCCGCTTCCGCTACCGCGTCTAACACGTCCAACACCGACGGTGTGAATGGTCCTCCTCGCGTGCCCAAAGCTGACAGAGACGCAACGCCCTTGGCTGTGAACGTGGGGGCTCCTGAAAGTGAGCATCAACCGCCTCCAGGAACACATGCCTCTGACACGAGTGAGCATCCGGAGAGCCGCCGTGAAGAGAGTCACGCCGCACCGCCGACATGCATCTCCCGGCAGAGCAATGCCACGCCCCTCAATCCGCTTGCGTTGAAGCTGTTGCATTTCGTGCGGCGCGTAAATGGCGGAATGGGAATGGCGGAGATCGACATCAATGGCCTGCTTCAGCTCGTGGTGGAGCCTGGCCTTGCGCCTCTTGTGATCATAGAGATCCAGAACAGCAAGGATTTGGAGCGGTTCGAGATGGAGCACTTGGTCGGGCTCAATCGCGGATGGTCAATGGCGACCTTCGAGATTGACGCTCATCCGCCACAGTGCCTTCTCTTTCAGAACTCTGCGCAGGTAAGTTGAATCTAAATCCGTGGCTGTGAAATGCAGATTCCGCATCCATTTGGTGCTTGTTGAACGTTGCCTCTGTTCGGCTTGTGTGAGATCTGCCCCACCTTCAACGCCACTAACCAGGGTTTGGTTCTCTCCTGCTCTTGCCAGAGTACGCCAGGCGTTTGTCAAACTGTTTGGGCATACCAACAATACGCCCAACTTCAAGCTCAAGGCTGGTGTTGATGAGGACCCTGACACAGGCGAGCGTCGCTATACCACGCCAGAAACTGGAACGTGGTGGAACGACGCTCAGGTATGGAAACACCCCGTTGCCACCCAAAACCAGAAGAGTGCGCATGCCTCCGTTGATGCGCTGATGTGTAGGGAGCATCTTCTGTGTGTCATGTTTGTGGGGAGTTCTTTGAAGCATGCTTAGTCCGCCTGGTGACAAGTTGCCTTGTTGGTGTTTGACCGTGTGCCTTTTCCCTCTTTGTCATGCTTTGCAGGAACACTTTGGATGGTCCGAAGTCGTGGGGGGTATCATCCTATACTCGGATATGACGCACATGAGCAACAATGGCCGGAAGAAGGCGTGGCCGCTAATGATGATGCTTGCAAACATCTCCCAGGCCAAGCGATGGGGGAAAGCCGGGCACACGCTACTTGCTCTCCTTCCTATCCCCCCTTCTGTAATGTCTGCCGTGGAGAAGGTGATGCTCTTCCAGCGATGCGTCATCACCGTGCTGCAGCCGCTTCTCAATGGCATGGAAAGGTCCGTTCTCAATTTCTGTCTTGCTATGTCGTCACCCAATCAACGTCATAGTATGCGCAGCGTTTCGGTATGTAACAGTCCCCCTTGTCCCTCTTCGCCAATGCACAAAGCCGAAATCCTTGTTCCTGTTGCCACAATACCTGTTCCTTGCAGCAGGTTCCGTCTCAGGGACCCTTTTGGTGATTGGCAAACCGTGCGGCCCCTGCTGTACGCCTGGGTGTGCGACTACCCTGAGAGCGGCAAGATCAGTTGCACACTCTTGCATGGATCGCGGATGTTGTGCAGCATCTGCTATGCTGCAAAGGTGAGAAAATATGCGATCGGCGTGCCTTCAGAACCATCGCCATCCGAATGTCACATGACGGACCTCATAATCTCACCTCCCTTACTTGTTCATCCCATCCCACTCTTTGTGCTACACCAGGAGCATCTGGTTGCTGTAAAGGCATGGAACACGCCGCGCACGCCTGAACAGCAGCAATGGATCATGAATAAGGCGGCAGGGTTGACATCAAGCCAGGACGACCAATGCAAGACCTACTCGACCTACCCGGTTGAGGTGAGCGACCTGTTCCCCGGGCGACTGTGTAGTCTACGCACTCCGTGTTGCTCAAACCTTGGGGAGATGTGCTATACCCCATTGCACTGTCCCACATGTTGTGTGTCGAGTCTCTCAAATACCTTTCTCTACCATTCCCCACCACATCCCCTTTTCCAGTGTGTGCTCTGGAAGCGGGATGTCCCAGGGACTGTGTGGGGCAATCCCTACCTCGTTATCATGCCTGACATCATGCACCAGACGGACCTGGGCATGATGAGCCACATTGTGGCTGTCGTGCGCAAGATGAAGAAGCAGCGCGTGAAGCAGATGGACAGGTCAGTGCCTTGGGGGATTAGATTTGTTGCTCGTTGTCAACAACACTCCAATCCGCACTCTCCTCCTCCTACTTACATGTTTCTATATTTGTGCCTGCCCTTGAACTGTTGTGTATGCGCAGGCGCCTGTCGCTCATTCGCGACCGCACGCGCTTGAACCACCTGCGCCTGCCAGAGAGCGCCTACTTCGAGACTGGAGCATGTGTCGCGGCCTATGAGCACAGGGCCGTCATGCAGGTGTGCAAGCCATGGTGCATGTGATCATCTTGTGCGATAGCATGCACCATGCAGAAGTGGCATGCCGATTCCAGACTACAACACACCCCTTGCTGCATCTCAGTACCCTCTCTCCTGCTTTAATTAATTCCGCCTCGAACACTTTTTGCTCATCTTCTTACACATGTCCCAACTACTCATGCCCCCCTGCTGTGATAAGCCCTGAAATTTGCAGGTCATGGTGTTTGTCTTTGCTGGCCTGCTTTGCCAGCCCTAGATGGATGCTGTTCGTGCCTATCTTGGCTGGTACCTCTTGTGTTGCCAGCCAACAGGGCACACCGAGCGGTCCTTGCGGGATCTCAAGAAGAAGACCTCCCGGTACTATTAACATGCATGTACAACCCTGGGCATTGCATGAATGCCTAGCCACGGCACCTAAGCTGTTGTAGTAACCTATCTTCACAGGATGTTGCTGATAAACCATGATAGTATATCAAATAAAGTAGGCTGCGGTATGTTGTAGTAGACTCTGATGTCCTTGTGAAAGCATGTTCGATAAAGCATATGCTGTCAACTCCCACTCCCATCAGGCTGGTTGAGCAGTTGCAGGCTGCTTTTCCAAAGCAGCCATCCTCCTGGTGCCTTGTGAAAACCCATCTCATGTCGCACTACATTGACTCCATTCGCCGGGTGGGTCATCTCACGGAATTCATGTTGGTGTAAGGGCCTAATAAACTCAAGCTATTAAGACTTTATCACACTTAAAACCTCTCCTCGGGGTCACCTCCAAGGGTCCTTGGGTGCCTGGTACAAGACCAGCCCCTATCCTTGGGTCCGAGTTTGTAGAGAGAGGGATCAAGAGGGACTTAGTCAAAACAGCAAGAGTACCTTGAACGTTGCGCAGCGTATCGTGCAGACCGTCGATCGGATTAAGCTGAGAATTTCCTATATCGAAGCTCACTCTAAGAGCTTTAAAATAAGCCAAGTTGCCTCGCGAAAAGTTCTGCCATTACGAAGTTATGGCTCGGACAGCGTTAGTCTAGCGTTGGAGTGCTAGCGTACTAGCGTTGACTCGGGTAGCATTCCGCCGTCGCACCGCGTAGAAAAGAAATTCCAGCAAGGAAGGAATTCGCTTGAATCAATTTCACTATATTCAGGTACAAACAGAGAAGGAATAAATAGTTCTAGCTAGCAAGGACCTTGGGAATCAACCTGGGAACAACCAGGGATGATCCCAAATAATTCCAAGCAACAGAACCAACCTGGCTGGACAAAATAGCAGGTGATAGGTTGGTGA